GAGTTGAAATGGACTCTATGGCACCTAACAACAACAGCCACTTAAAGTTAACGGTTCCATGAAGCCGGTTCTCCGGGAATTCAGCTCCTCACTGGCGTGGTGTTTCTCTCTTCCTCCTTTTCCTCAGAAAATTCTGAATACAATCTAATAGACCACTTTCTATAATTTGATTTAAATACTACCTATTGCTCCTAGGAGCTCTGGTGGCATAGTGCCTAAGGCACTTGACTGCTAACCAGAAGCCTGGCAGTTCAAACCCACCAGCCACTCCTCAGAAGGAAGGTTGGGGAATCTACTTCCATAGAGATACTGCCTCAGAAACCCAAGGAGGGGTCACTGTGAGTCAGATCCAACTCGATGGCAGTGAGTTGCTTTTTAATTTGCTTCACTAAGACAAAAGGAATGGACCATCTGAGTGTAAAGTCCAAGTTCTCAAGCATGAGAAGCACACAGAGTTGTTCGTTATCAATTAAGAACATATGTAATAAAACCATCTCTCAGGGACTTGCACCTACTTCATGGGTTCCCCTGGCTTCAGGGGCTGCCTTCTGCTCCTTGTGTTGGGAATCAAGCTTTGGTAACCTGAGGGACTGTTCTGGTTACCTAGTGCTGCTCTGACAGGAAACATACCACAAATGGGATGGCTTGAACAAACCGGAGTTTAAATATGTACATGCAGACCACTCAACCCAGGATGACGCACCCACGTCCTCTATGGTAATACATCCCTTAGAGCAATAGACCACGGGGCACCAGAGGACCAACATTCAAACTGAGGAAATGCAGGACAAACAGGAGTGCATAAATATGAGGGGCACAGGAGGAGGGTTCCAGGGTAGGGAGGGGAGGAGACTGGGTTAGGGTTGGGCATGTGAATGGGAATGAAACTAAATGTACACATAACGCTGAATGTAAAACAAGCTCTTAAAATAAAAAGCAAACAAACAAACAAGAGTTTATTCTCTCACAGTTTGGAGGCTTTAAGTCCGAGTTCAAAGTGCCAGGCTCTCGGGGCTGGGTGAAAGCTCCTCAACCTTGGGCTTCAGCTCTGCCTCCTGCTCCCGGCCCACTGACGCTAGAGGCATCTCTTCACTCAGGCAGCTGCTGGCTGTTGAGGCTGAGAAGCCCCAAGGTTGACAATTAAAATGGCACAGTCCTGATGTTACCAAACCACATGGCAGGCCATTAATTAAAGTCCATTATAAGTCCCAAGGTCAGCAGAGCATGGCAGGCTGCTGAACAATGACACAGCTACATGCAGACTCCAAGTGTGCCATAAGCTAGAGACCATTCCCCCAAGGCTTCTCCTTACATACAGGAAGCAGACCACATTCCCCAAGGCAGCTACTCAGCTGCTTCCAGTAGATTCCACCATGGAGTTGATTCTCATCATGGGAATACTAGATCCAGCTGCCCAGCTACTCAACCAGGCCCAGCCAAGGTGCCACACAAACTGAACTACAACAGGGACAGAGCTAGGAAAGGGTTCACCCCCTTAAGTGATGTGACCACTTTCATTTTCCTTGCACCACCGACAAACAATTTCTGGCTGGAAAAGCTTTGTCGGCCTTAGCTTCGTGTTCCTTCATTAGCACTGATTCAGGGAACAGGCCATCACACCTTCTTCTTCCCTGGGCTTTGGTCCTCAACACCAAACCCTCCCTCTGTAGGACACTTCCAATCAGCCTTGCCGGACACCATCACCCATGTGGGCATTGCTTTGTTACAGTTCTCATTTGTACAAAACCAAAAGGAAAAGCACCTCTCTAAGCCCTCTTGGTGCTAAAACGTCTCATTTCTGCTAAAATAACTAGTGGGCTAAAACCTAATGTAATACAAGAGGGGGCAATGATGGCCTCAGGTTACAATATGAAGGACTGTGTGGAACATGGGGATTATATTTGTACAGACCCTGGCAAGTATGAGTGAGAAATGATACACCCTGCAGTTTTCTTCTAAAGAAGCTGGTTATGAAAGGAAATAAAACCCTACCATTAGTAACCAAGACAAACAGGGACGTGGCACAGACTGTGTTTATGGGAGGAAAAGAACCCAAACTGCCAGGTAGTGGGGCTGCTCCCTGTAGGCTGTGTGTGACTAAAGGGAGCTTTACACAATTATTCAAATGATGATAATGTAGTGATTCCTGTGTTTAAAAAATGTATACCTACCTAGCATTTTCTGAAATATGAATTTAAATATAAAATTGAAGAAATTAAAAAACAGAATTTGCATCTGCAGCTTTTAATGGATTATTTCTGTTCACATGGGAAGGGGGGGCAGGGAGACGCTATATTCTGTGTCTTCTAATGACATTTATGTAAGAGTCATCAAAGTGTGTCAAGAGAAAAATGGCCTGTATTCCAAGAAATCATTCCTTTTGGACCATGACAACTTTGAACAAAATTATTTTCACAAAATTTCCTTTTAATCATCTTTACAAAGCACAATACTTAAGACTTTTCTAAATACAACTTTAGAAAATGAAGCAAAAAAAAAAAAAAATCTCCAAGAGACGCCTGGTAGAGTCCATGCTGAATGCAAAATAATTTTTTTTTAAAGTGATACTTTCACGCTTTTCAATATTCTTGACGGGTCCCTTTTGCAAAGTACACAGCAAAGATGGTGGCTGCTCAGGCGGGTCGTCCAGTCCCTGGATGCATAACCCTCTTGCTGGTTAGCAAGTAATGAAGCTGCACACACCAACCTCTCCTAGAATGGCTCCTCCCTCTCTCCAGGTGCAAAGGAAGCCAATGGCTACGAGGGAATGACGCTAGCCCTCTACGTCGAACATGGCCAGTGCCCCAGAAGGGCATGCCAGCCCCTCTATTAACAATCCTAGTCTGTATACACATTGTACAAGACTGTATCTATCGTTAGAGATTTCCTGACCAGTAAATGAGAGATCCAAACGTCAAAGACCTCAATCCTCATTCCTCTAGGAGGTGGTGGGAAACCTCGGAAGGCTTCAAGTTTAATGTAGAAATGCCTCAAATGGTCAAGAGCAAGGAAACACTGCCAGCCCCAAGCCCTCTGAGAGCCAGCTGCTGACAAGGCCGTCTAGCCAGGCCTGGGATCCAGGGTGTGATGTTGCATTGCTTTGTTGTTGTTGTTATGTGCCGTGGAGTCGGACCCAACTTATAGCGACCCCTCCCCTGGGTTTCCGAGGCAGTATCACTACGGAAGTAGACACTCCTTTCTCAGGAAATGCCTCAGTCCAGGAAGACCAGGGCTGGGCTGGGAGGACCCTCCAGTGGGCAGGTGTTAGCAGGTCAGAGGAAGGCAGGGGAAGGGAGAGAGGAAGAGGGAGAAGAGATAAGGATTTTAACACTCTGAGTGATCAATTACTTTTTTGTTTTTCTATCATTCTCTCTGTTATCAATTCCCATTCTCTGCAGTTGTGCAAATCTATTGACGTTTGATCGTTCACTATAAAACTCCAGAAGTAGACAAAGCAGCTTTTTAGAAACACATAAAATATCTTTGGGGGCCATAAAGGGATACCCCCTACCCCCAACAATCTTGCAATACAGTGTGGCCCTTAGTTTTGGCTAAGGACGAGCCAACAGTTACACAGTCTAAGGCTGAACTGTTCATTTGTTACAAAGATCAAGCGGACAATCAAACACCAGGTTCCTTAGGAAGGAGAAAGCAATTCCATAAATGCAAGAAAGAGCCGAGGGCTACATGTCAACACGACCCTCCCCGTTCACTTGGACCTGAGGAAGGGGTTACAAAAGCAAGGCAAAGGACGTTCTGTGGCTACACTTTAAACGATGACACACACAGATCACCCAGGGCAGGAAATAACACAACTTTCCCCCCTGTGTTCATTTGCATTTTACTTTATTTATTTTTGCTTTAATAATGCATATTCTGTTCACGCAAAAGGTGCAAAGGACAGGAGGCAGGGGTTTAACTTGGTGGGTGAAAATCAAGCAGGGGTGACATTTCTAGTTTCATGAACAACTGAAAACCAGGAGAACTGAAAAGTCACAGCTGGTACCCGCAGCACTCCCAACTTCACAGCCATCTCCTCTTCAGACCTTTGGCGATGGGGAGGGAAGCTCTGAAGACAGTGGCCTCTAGTGGACTTTTCTAAGTGACTAAAAAACTTTTTTTTTGGGGGGGGGAATCATGGTAGCTGCATCACAAAAGCTCCAATCCAGAAGGTGGTAAAAAGAAGGCACAGATCATTGCAAATACCGGGTTTTCTCTTTCTCTCTTTGTAAATATACCATCATGGAGAAGCTAAACTTCAGCTGAGGGTGGTGGGCTTTGTTGGCAGGGGGAAGGGATGGTTGGACCTAACACTGCATATGGAATAGAATCCTAACGGGGAACACAAAGCGAGGCAGCTTGCGGCCTGAAGCAAAACAACGGGACACTTGCTCCTGACTTATGTGTAGTACAAACACTGGAGGGGGTCTGTGACAAAACACGATTACAAAATCAGAAAATTATAAAGCTTGTAAACGAAGAATCGGAAATTACATTTTATTCATGGAAAATATCATCAAAATAGTACCACTGTGGACTGAACTGCCTGAGTGTCATTGCGCAAGATCTCAAGGTCGGAAAGCCTGTAGCACAGTCTGCTCTGGTGAAGCGCCAGACCCAGGGCCAGGCCACGAGGGAGTCTCCTCTTGGATGGAATTGGTGTTGTGCTATCAAGACTTTTGTGCTAATCTTTCAAACAGGGACACGTGGAGGCAAACCTTTCATCTTTTGGCACAAGGTTATTTTGGCTGGGGCGGAAAATTTGAGTCTCCGACTCAGAATGAGTAATGCAACGTTTCATTGATCAAGTATTCATTTTGATTGGAGAGCTTTCTTGATGTCGTTAACTTCCATCTAGAAAGGAAAACAGGACCACAACACAGTCATATGGCGTTGGCGAGTTTCCCACACTGAATCATCATCAACATGGCTGATTAAAAGAATGAACCTGACAATTTTACAGGTGAAGTGACGTCTGGATGAAGGGTCCATCACGATGCTAGAATGACGTAGTCTTGACCCACCAGTAAACGGTGGCTACTTTTACTTTCAGGCTACCAATAGCCAAGCCAAAATGCGCCAAAGGCAGCAGTGAGTCCAACTTCCTGGCCATAGGAAATGCCAGAGCCATCTGGCAGTGTTGGGCTGGGCTCAGGGTGTCAGTTAGCACCCCCAAAGTGATGAAGAGCAGGTCCTATCCTTTCTTTAAACAGCATGGGTCCCACTTACCCCCAAGGGCTCCACCTGCATCAAAGGTGAACTCCTACCCACTCAGCCATTTGGAAAACAGTTGCATCAGAGACTATAGGAGGACTAAGCGCTGATGTCGCAGCAGAACTGATAAGGCCTGACATCAGGGAGAAATAAAGAGCTGAACAGCAAGTGTGGACAGCTGTGGTCACAGGAGTCCCAACAACCACCTGACAGAAGCCAGCTGGCAACAGGGTCTCCCCATGCCACACCTAGCAGGTGCTATAAAGATGTTTCTTGGAGACTGGTGGAACTTTCCACAGAGCAGATGTTTAAGGTAAATCCCAAATAAGAAAGCCAACTTGGGGGTTGGGTTTAATGTTCCCCTTTCCCAAGACCTCCTGGGTTCCAGAAAGCGTGTGAAGTGAGCCTACGAAAATCTAAGAAAACTGTCACAGGAAGTGTGCCCACATCTGCAGGGAAATAACAACCATTTATTTTCAAATTAAGGCCCTGATGCTGTCCCCATCCCCATCCCCCATCCCCAATTGAGCCTCTAGGCCTCACAAGCAGCGAGCAGCAGGACTCCAAGGGACCTACCTGCAACCGAAGCCGGATTTTCTTCTCTTCATCCAACTCTGACAATAACTGCTTAATCTCTCGCCTGAAAAGCAAACAGCAATGAAATTAATTCAAAGCCCAGAGTTCCGCCATGAGAGATAATAAACCTTTTATTATCATGGCAGAATAAATCTGACCCTCTTACAAAGAAAAAGTGGACAAAACATTATTATTATGGGTTTGTTTTTTGTTGCATTGCTGTTGTTTAAAACTTGTTGCCGGTAGCAACACTTGCTTTTATTTCTTGGCTCCACAGAATGTCAGGTATGGAAATAGCCTTTGAGACTCTGTAGCTCAAGCCTTCCCCCCTTTTTGATGGGGAAACTGAGGCCCAGGGAGGTGGTATAACTTGCCCAAAGACTAGATTCCAAGTGTGCACGCCCGTATACTGTTGTCTTCCCTCACTGCTCCTTTCCGAAACACTGGTCTCTCAGTGCACTTACAGAATAAATTTCATTTCCTAAGGCAATTGGTTGCTAACCAGAAGGTTGGTGGTTCAAACCCACCAGCTGCTCCATGGGAGGAAGATGAGACAATCTACTTCCATAAAGATTTACAGCCTTGGAAACCCTATGGGGGTTGCTATGAGTCGGAATCCACTTCATGGCAGTGAGTTTATTTTCACAAAGTTTAAAATTAATAAAAGGCTATGAGTTTGGTTTTGGTTTGGTATGTTTTCACTGATTCTCACAAAATCCTACAAATAGTAATACCTCAGAACTTGGAGTTATTTTACTTAAGTATTTTACAATATCTGACAACCATGTCATAGAGGAAGCAGACGCAAGTTAGGCTACACAGACTAATGCCCTTCCTGACATTCAGTGATAAAGTGGCATGTAACCAATCATCTCTCAAATGGAGGGCTATACGCTTGGTACACTGCAGTCAGTCACACTGTCAGAGAGCCGTTCTCTGTTTTAAGGTATTAAATACTCCATTTCACAGATGGGGTTGGATGATCAAGATGCCAGGCCTGCAGAAGCAGCACAGGCAATAAGGTAGATGGCAGAGGACATCCGCTCACTCCGATGAGTGCTGTGATGGTCCCTGTGCATGGCGCAGTGTCCTGAGTGACCAGGCTGGAATTCGAACCCAGCCATCTGGCAACAGCAGTGTTCTTAACCACCCATCAACCTGTAAGATGGCTCAGCCCTGTGGGCACAGGGCTGGTCAGAGCTTGGAACCCTTTGAAGCCAGAAACATGCCCTGGGCAGCTGGCAACACATGGGCAGCCCAGCCCAAGCAGCCCAAGATGGAGTAAGGTGTGAGGGGTTGCTTAATACCAACCCCTCCGAAATCTCAGCTGCCTGGGAAGGATGCCTATACAAGCAATGGCTGCCACTGTATGAGTGGGAGACTTGCTGGTGCCCACTGTTGTCTTCAGGTAGGACATATGGAGTGGAGGTGCGTCAACTTGGCTAGACCTAGTTGAGTGGCTGGGCAGCCGGATGTAGTTATTCCCCGTGGTGAGACTGGTAATTAACTCCATGGTGGAATGTATTAGAGCAGCTGCTTTAGGGGTATGGTCTGCTTCCCATATATAAGCAGCAGCTTTAGGAATGGTCTCTACCTTACAGCATGCTTGAACCCCGCATGTAGCTGTGTCATTGTTCGGTAGCCTGACATGCTCTGCTGACCTTGGGACTTTCTTTTTTCCTTTTTTTATTGTGATTTGGGTGAAAATTTACAGAGCAAATTCACTTTCCATACAGCAGTTCACATACACTTTGTCTCGTGAAATTGACAATTCACCACAATGTAACAACTCTCCTCCCACTTCCTCCCGACAGTCACCTCTTCCCTGTGTCCATCCCTCCATGTACTCCTGCCCCCTGAGCTGTCTCCCGGGGCATAAGCAGCCCTTCCTTCTCCCATGATTGTTCTCTCCAAGGAGTGTATCTACCTCAGGTAAATGT